GCAGAGCAGCAACAATGGACAGCCAGTTTATGGTAAACCAATAAAACCTACTTATGTCTGAATCTGAAATTAGACTCCGAAAAATACGGTCTCAAGGCACCTGCTAAAGTGCTTAGCATTACTGGAATCTTAATAAATGACTCATGCTGTCAGAATCTGATCCTGACATCAACTCTCCGGGCTGTGTTTCTTCAGCTCTGGGGGGCAGGGAAGGGGAAGGCTGCAAAGGAGAAAAGACTCAGGGATGGAAAATGGGTTGTTTGAAGCCCCCCTAAGGGATCTTGTATTGTCACCTCAAACCCAGAGCAAAATGAGACTCGAGCAGGAGAATTATGGAGCACCAGAAGAAACAGGAATTGCTCTTTGCCTTGGGAATCTTTACCTGATGCTGCTGGACGTTGTTTTGTAGAGGGTGTGTGGTTTCCTTCCAAACCCAAAGGATTTTTTAGAGGGAAGAACAAGCAGATGAGAGTTACTAGCACAGAATAGAGGTGATCATTGGTAGCACTGAGGGGGAGATGAATTCCTCACTCCTGCCCTTGGCTCTGACACAAACTGTTCCTTTGCTTTGGGATAATCCTTTAACTCTGTTGCTTTGAGGGTGGTAAAAACCTGCCCTCTCCATAGAGGTGTGTGGCAAATTCCATGTGTGTTAATTATTTTAATCTCCTATAAATCTAAGTGTTAAACAGAAGGATTAATTATTAGTTTCCTCTCTGGCAATGAATTGCAAACCTCACAGGGACTTTTATTTCAAGAACTTGAGTGACAGTCCCGTGAAAACTGCCCCAGAACTTGGAAAATTCAGCTACACCAAGCAAATGGAGGGGAAAGACATGGCAAGGGCTCAGCTCTGGGGTTACAAATGTGCTGTGTGGGGCATTTTTTTTAATTCACTCTTGTTGATTTGGCCGGGATTCAGGGAAAGTTGAGATTTTATCCAGCTTCTCAGTGAAGGCCTGTGCACACTGCAGAGCTCTGCACACAAAAGCCAGGCTCTGCTGCAAGAAGAAATGCTTATTTTCCTGGTGTAGAGCAGATTCAGGGCCAGGGAGGAACCACTTCTCATGTTTAAGAGAAAATCACAGCCCGTGGCCATAGTTCTTGCTGCATTTTAGAGCAACTTATTTGTCATGGCTTTAAAAACCAGCTTCTCCTCGTGGGTTTTAAAATGCATAACTTCAGCTTTTCCTTCCTGGTTGTTTTTCTTTTTTTTTTCCTTCCCCCTTTTTTGCACGTGTTGGTGTTACTGGATACTTGAGCTTTCAGGCATTTTGCTCTCTTGGAAGATTAATGGCAGGGGTATAAGGCTGTTGGGCTTTGCAAACAGGAGTGAATGTGCCTGAATGGGGAGGGATCTCTGAGAGATTAAAACTGAAGATTTCTGAGCTTGACAAAAATATCTGTAATCACTTATTGCTTATATTTTATAGATATATATATATGCTTAATATATAATATATAAGCAAATATATAATTATAATATATAATTATAATTATAAAATATACAGATATAAATATCTGTAATAATTTTTTGCTTATATTTTTATATATCCTTGATTAATATATATGTTTTATATATATATATATATATTTGCTTAATTACTACTGCAGTCCACTGATTTCAGCTTTACTTCTGAAGAAGGAGGAAGGGCACAAGGAACAGTTTCATTATCCATCTAGATAAGGGGAGGTACAAAATGCTCAAAGTGTAACAGAAAATAACAAAACCTTTCAGAACGTGGGGTGGGTTTTTTGTCTTTCGCAATCCAGGATCTTACAAATTAAACACGGTTAAAAAAAGCAACCACAGAACAAACCCAACCAAAAAAAAAAACAAACCCCAACGACAACAACAAACCCCAAACAACCAGAAAAAAAAACCCCAATCGGGCCTGGAAATCACATTCATGTTGTGCAACCTGATATTCTATTTACTCCTCGCTCTTTTTCAGGGGATTGTTTAAAAAAATAAAGCCTCGGTGTTTCTGTCGTTCCTTTTTTCCCTCCCTTCTCTGTTTTTACTATTAAATGTCACTGCTGCCCTTTGCTCTTTGAGACAGTCAGAGCAGCATTTTCATGTGTTAAACTCTCCTAGTAAATGGCTTGTTACAACATGTAAGGATGGATCAGTCCTAAAGGTGGTTTTCTGGTTGGTTCTCGTGGCCACCTTGCAGTGGAGAGACCCTTTTAAGATGTAAGTGTCCCACCAAAAGAAATGGAAAGAACCAACACTGAATTTTTGGCCAGAGAATATTGATTATTTGAAAAGAAACCCTGTTAAATAGTATGGAATAATGAATGTATCGAGTCAGTTGTCCAGGGAGATCTGCTCCACACAGGCTGGTTCAGGGAGAGGGAAGAGGGAGGAACAGTTGAATATTCCAGTGGAAATTTTGGTGCTTAGATTCTGCTCATTTTCATGAAGCCAAGCCATGCTGAGCTCTTGGATGGTTTGGGGAGCAGTTCAGCCTTGAAGATCATCTTGTGCTTCAGACCAGGCCCAAGAAGGGCCAGAAGCTGTTTGTGCCATTGTTTATGATCAGATTACTCTGCACAGGGAGGTGAGACATGAATTTGGGGCACCCCTGAGGGCTTTAGCAGAGCACAGTGTTTGCTCATCTCATCTCTTGTCCCATCTCAGCCACACCAGCTGTTTGTTGCTTTGGAGAAAATACTCCTTGGGGGTTGAGGAAAATACTCCTTGGGGGTTGAGGAAAATACTCCTTGAGGTTGAGGAAAATATTCCTTGAGGGTTGAGAAAAATATTCCTTGAGGGTTGAGGAAAATACTCCTTGAGGGTTGAGGAAAATACTCCTTGAGGGTTAGGGCAGGACAGTAGGAAGAAACAGAGCTGCCTTGCTCCTTAGCCACGTTCTTCCCCAGATGTTGTTTTGTCCCAAGTCCCTTCATGAGGAGCAGGAGGAGAGATTTCACAACCATAAAAACACAATTAGCCCCCGGGGCTTTGGGGAAATCTGATTTCTTGTACCTTATCTCCTTATTGAGGGGAGAGGGGAGAAGGGGAGGTTGTATTTGAAAATAAAACATATGGCTGTGTCATTTTAAAAAGTCTTTTTAGATAAGATTGTAAAGAATTCCACTTCTTTCTGCCTTAGGGACAGCATTTGTGCCAGAGCCCTGGGATGAGGGGAAGTGCACTTTCCCCTCCTGCTCACTGGGAAACTGGTTGTTATAGAGAGTTTCTTCTATCCTGGGAAATGTAGGGAGAGACCCTTCCTTGCAAATAATCCCCAAGTCAAACATATTTTGTGTGAGTTCAACCCAAATCTGTCAGTGCTGCTGGGACATCCGTGTGCTGATGGTGACTGGGAGCAGGAATAATATTTGTTGCCGTTGTGTCTCCTCTGGGATATTTGGAATAATCTCTCTGAGTCTTTTCTTTTCTCCTTTTTCCTCTCTTACATCCAAGATCTCCTGCCAGGCAGGCAAAGAAGTTTGAAAAGAGAACAGAGAATCAGTCCTGGTTTGCTCCTTGTTTCAGCCTCCTCCCTTTTTGTTAAATTTAGTGGGTATTCTCACACTCTCATACATATTTTTTAAAAAATTTCCCAACCTGATGAATTTTGAGGTCACATAACTCCAGTCTTGACCCCACTGAAATCATCAATACCCAAATTCCCACCTTCCATAGAAGTTCAGCTCTAGACACTGGTGCTTTCCCTGTGAATATTCCACCTGGGAAGAGCAGTTTTTGGCTTTCCTGTCTTTTTTTGGCTTTTTACCTTCCTCAGTGTCATAGCAGTGTTTACAAGAGGTGTGTGTGATACCAAGCTCTGCCAGAGAAGCTTTTGGGAAAACTCTCTTAGGGCAGCCAAGCCTAGAGCAGCCTCTTGGAATAATTGTTTGTGTGTTTTGGTTTAGGTTTGTTTTGGTTTGTTTTGTTTTTTGGCTTGGCTGCCAACACAAAGAACCAAGGGAAATAATTCCCAGTAAAAATTTCATTTTTCGTGTTTTTTTTTTTTTTTTGCTTGTTCTTAGACAAATGAAAAAACAGAAATATTTCATTTCACCAAAGCCCTCAAGTGTTTCATTTGGGTCATTAAGAAAAGCAAGGGAAATGAAGGGTTAGACTTCAAAGGAAGTGCCTGGGGGCAGTTCTTGTTCATTCAGGGTGGAGGAGACCCTGCTCCAGCTCTTTGCTCTGCTGGAGAGGAGCTGAACACACTCCTCTTGCTTCCCAGGAAGGTTTTTCCTAGGAAGAGGCTACTCAGGGGTGAGGATAGGATTAGATGAAAAATGAGCTGTTATTTGCTTTCAAGCTGCAGTTTGGGAAATGAAACTGGAAGCCTTGTTTCTTTGTAATGTTTCTGAACTTTATGTAGATAAATTAGATAACTTGGAAGGAAAGGTGTGTGTGTCACTCTGGATGATTTTGTCCCGTTGAAAATTCGTGTGTCCATGTTTAAAAGTCCTGTTTTATTATCACAGGCTTTAAGATGTAACACCTTTACATTCACAGCAGGAGTTGTTGAGAGCTGGGCAAACACCCTGTTTGTCAGGACACACATCAGTGTTTAAAAATACCACTAAATCAATGTATTCTTGCTTGCTTTTGTCTCTGCCTCCAAATTAGTCATAAAATTAGTAAATCCAGGGCAGGACTGTTATGTGGTGAGATATTAGGAAGGGATCCTTCCCTGTGAGGGTGGGGAGGCCCTGGCACAGGTTGCCCAGAGAAGCTGTGGCTGCCCCTGGATCCCTGGAAGTGTCCAAGGCCAGGCTGGATGAACTTGGAGCCACCTGGGCTAGTGGCAGGTGTTCCTGCCCATGGCAGGGGGTGGGATGAGATGATCTTTAAGTCCCTTCCAACCCAAGCCAGCCTGTGATTCCAGGATTTTCCAGTTTTTGGAGGTACCCTGAAGGCTGGGCCCGGATCCCTCCCGGTGCCGGCGACCGGCACCTCTCGGGATCGCGTCGGGGTTGAACCAACACGTTTTAATCCCGAGCTAAATCCTCCCCTCCCTGTTTTGCTGCAGATCCCTGGATGGCAGGCTCCAAGTATCCCACAGGAAAGGCCTCCCCCATGTGATCTACTGCCGGCTGTGGCGCTGGCCGGACCTGCACAGCCACCATGAGCTGCGGGCCATGGAGATGTGCGAGTACGCCTTCAACATGAAGAAGGATGAAGTCTGTGTCAACCCCTACCATTACCAAAGAGTGGAAACCCCAGGTACTGCCAGAGCCATGCCCAATCCTCCTCTTCTCCCTCCCAGCACGAGGGATTTCTAAGTGTGTTTCTATGTTGTATTTATTATTGATGATAATCTCTTTGCTGGAGGCGGTGGAATAATTTATGAATCTGCACCCAGGGGGGGAAATATCACTTGGAGTGGATGAAATCCAGTGGCAGGGTGTGTTGTTGCCAGGTTCCTCCTGTGGCTTTGTGTGCACAGAAACCACTCACACACGCAGTGGGAACTGTGGTGGTGTTCTGCGTGTCCCTGATTGTTGGTGTGAAATTAAGGATAAACTTCCTGGGAAGAGGATCTAAGAACAGCTCCCAACACAACTAAACTTGCTGTTCTGGAGTCTCCTTCTGCCTCTGAGAGAGGCTTTGAGGTGGAGCTGCAGCTCCTTGTGTCAGCACAAGTCTGCAGAGCCAGTGGGGATGTTTGTGCTGATCCCACCTTGCTGCTCCATTTGATGTGAAACATTCCTTTTCAATCATGTGCTATAACTTCTCTTAAATGGCTTTGCAAGAAGACCTGTTTCTTTGCCTGAGAAGGGGCAGAGAGTCCAGGTGTAGTTCTAAGTGTCCCACCCCCAGCTGGGATGTGTCAGGAATAAAAAACACCTGCTCTTATTCCAGAAGGAAGCACCAAATGGGGTCCCTCCATTGGCAACTCTGTGTTCCATGTATTTTAAAGGTGTAACTCCAAACTGGTTTCTCTCATTTTCCAGTGTTTCAGTCACTTTGTTTTAAAGCTGTTGTGTTTTTTCCCTGCCCTGGTGCAGTGTTGCCCCCGGTGCTGGTGCCCCGGCACACGGAGATTCCGGCCGAATTCCCGCCGTTAGACGACTACAGCCACTCCATCCCAGAGAACACTAACTTCCCAGCAGGTATCGAGCCCCAGAGCAACTACATTCCAGGTACCATATCCCTTCCATACAGCCAGCACAGGGGAAGGGTCACACTGCACAGGGAATCACGTGTATTCCCAGCTGGAGGACTGGGAAGTCTTTCTTCCCATCGTTACTCCCAACTTGGACAAGAAGAGGTGCAAGTGTAAATGTCCTTAAACTCACCTCTTCCCTTCACTTGCACCTCCTGAGTTTATTGTGAAATCCAAAGCTTGAATGGGCCTTCAGCACGTTTAGATTGGAATGAAATCCAGTTGTTTTAATTTGAGTCAAACTCTCTAAATTTCTCATGGAGTCGAGCTCTTCTATTTCTGTATCTCTCTCACAAGCAATTTACACTTTATTTGCATGGACAAACTGTGCAGCTGCACTCCAGGAGAGGAAAAATATGTGGACAGAAAACTGTGTCTCGATGGCTTCAAGTTTTAGGGGCTGAAAATCCAGATTTTTTGTTTCCCCCCTCCTCTGTTATTCACATCCTGGTTGGGTTGGCTCCTCCCTTCAGCAGCTTGAGGAAGAAAAGTAATAAGAAGGAATTTTGTCTCCTTGTGAATAACACAGTGAATGGTTTTGGTGTGTAAACTCCAGACTTGGAATGGTTTTGGTGTCTGAAATCCCAACTTTTCATGCAGTGGCACTGACAGTCTGATCATTTTATGCTTTAGAAACCCCTCCTCCAGGATACTTGAGTGAGGATGGAGAAACCAGTGACCACCAGATGAATCCCAGCATGGATGCAGGTAAGTCACCTTCTGCCTTTTGCTGCAGCTTTCTGGGTCATATCAGACACCCTTTAAAAGTTTTTCTTTGGGCAGTGAGGATCAGGTGGTGGTTTCAGGAGTTTTATCCCGGTAGGAGTGTAAATGTAGCCTGAAATCTCATCTAGAGCACAGGGCTGTGTGTTTGAGAGCTGAAAGGCACAACATGTTCCTTCTTCTCTCCAAAATCCGGCATCAGATTCTACCAAGCAGGAGCCTGAAATAGTAAAGACACACCCAAGGATGACAATTTGTCTTGTGTTTTGTGTCCATGTGCAGGAAGACTGTGCCCTGTTCTGCAGAGGCATTTTTCTGACTATTTATATAAATAATGAAGAAATAGATAACAAAGAAACAAATAAGATAAATTTCAATAATAAAGGTAAATTTCGATAATAAAGAAGTCCGAACTTAAATGTCCAGTTTACCTATATTTCAAAGGACCACAAGCAGATTTGGTTTTAAAGGGGTTTATCATTTCAACACCAAGAAAGTTGAGTGCCTGGGTTCTCTCTCGTTGCCAAGAAAACAAAGTAACCAGGTTTAGGATGGACCAAATTTAAATGGTTGAGGACAAAATTCTGCCAACTCTTTGGTCAGATCTGTACAGCCTGATCCAATACTCCACAGTCCCAAACCCAGTCAGATTTGGGGATATAAAGTGTTATGTTTCCAGCTGCTGTGAGTATGTTTTGTGCCTGGCAATGCAGAACCAAGCTCTTCAGTGTCCAGCTCACTGGGTTTGTCTGGAGCTGTCAGGATGATCCCTGAAATTTTCCTGCCTGCCAGTGAAAGTAAAACATCCCAACTCCACGCTCAGTTTGCAAAATTAATGGGTTAAGCTTCAGTGGAGATGTAGCAAGTTGATCTAAGTAATAAGTTTGGAAGCTCATGTAAGGATTAATAAACATCAGAGAAGCTGCTGGTGTCAAAAAGGAGACTGGAGTGAGAAGTGGGTTATCCCTCCAACAAGCCTGGGCAGCACTGAGGATCCTGGGTGAGCACTTTCCCTTGTGCAGATGCCACACCAATAATTATCCTGTCTTGATTTTCAGGTTCTCCAAACTTATCACCCAACCCCATGTCTCCAGCACACAATAATCTGGGTAAGCATGTGAGCTTGGGAACTGGGTGTAATTACAGTCAGGAGAGTGACATTTTAATGGTGGCATTTTGTGAGGTTGGGCACTTCTGATGAGGTTGTGGGCACTGCTGATGTTCCTTTCCACTAATCCTCTTTGCTGTGATAACAGTGGTTCATAGTAACTGTATAGGAAATGAAGAAATCTGAACTTACATCAGATAAAAAGCCCAAGAAATGTTGGCAGATAAATACCAGAAAGAATGAGGGAAGGACTGCAGCAAACCCTCCCTTGTTTGATTATGTGACTTTGCAAGAATATGTCCTTTTCTGTCTGTTTTGCTGCTGGGTTTGTGTTCTTATATTTTTAAAAGACACAGATTGAGTTGTTAAATTTTGTCTCCTGGAAAGTTACTCGGTAAATTTGGAGTGCTTAGTGGTCTCTTTTATAACATTCCAATGGTTTTAAACTGACAGGGGGGCAGGTTTGGATTAGATGTTGGGAAGGAATCCTTCCCTGGGAGGGTGGGCAGGCCCTGGCACAGGTTGCCCAGAGAAGCTGTGGCTGCCCCTGGATCCCTGGAAGTGTCCAAGGCCAGGTTGGAGCAACCTGGGCTAGTGGGAGGTGTCCCTGCCCATGGCAAGGGGTGGAATTGGATGAGATTTAAGGTCCCTTCCAACCCAAACCATTCCAGGACTCTATTCCCTACCTTTAATGTGCTGCTGCTGCCCTTTACTTTCCTACCTCCAGACTGAAGGTCTGATCTCCATCAGGCTGAGCTCTCACCCTGTTGGAATTGCTCTCCATGGTGTGCCATAAAAAGCCCTCTCAGCTCTGCCTGGCTGCAGGATCAGCTCTCCAACTGTTCATTATCCAGCAGACAGAGGCCACTTGAGATTACTCTTGAATAACCAGGGCCATAAAGTTTACATATGCTTTTAATCCTGGCACGGAGGACTTTGACACTGCTCCAAAATTTGTCACTCATTGGCTGACTTGTGGATATCTTGGGGCTGTTGAGGAGGGGATTTCTTTTCCCTTCTTCTTTTTTTCCCTTTTTTCCCCCTTTCCCCCCACCTTTTTTTTTTCTTTTTTTTCTTTTTTTTAAAAAACATTGCCATGGTGCCACAAAAATTTTATTTCTTTACCTGTTACAACCCAAGAAGAGAATAAATGGCTGAGTAACCTTTATTTCCTTTTTTTGCTGGAATCTATTATGCTCCAGGGTACTGCCTGGGAGCTGATGAGATTTTATAGCAAAAAAAAAATAATTTTCAACCTAAAAATAAAAAGCCAATTACGTGTAAAAAAAAACCAACCTGGCAAGTTGACTGTGGCATCTGCCTTAGAAAACTGAGTTTCTAGGAAAGAGGCCCCAATCCATAACAGGGACACTGGTTATTAACACATGTCAGATGTCTCGTGTGCTGTCTGGTGACAAAAAATAAGTAGAAGCAGGTGAAGCTGGTTAACCACAAGGAATCTCTTTGTAGTCTAAGGAGCAGACAGCAGAAAAGCACTTTAACTCCCCAGCATTAAAAGATACCTTTCAATTTTGCAAGCCAAATATTTATTGCTCTCAGACAAGAGCTTCCCCGAGTGAAGAACTCCTCGTGGCTTTTAATTTTATTGTCAGTTTTTGCCCGTGAGGAAGCTAGAAAATAATAACTAAATGAAATGGCACAGAGATGAGCAACACTCCAAACTGTGCCAGGGCAAAGTTGGCATCAGCTGCCCCTTGGAGATGGTTTATCTACAAGAAGGAGCTGCTACAGCAGGGGAAGTGAACACAGCCCTTCAGCCCGATGGTTCCTGCAGGCCAGGAAGGGCTCTGAGCTGCAGCACTCCTGCCTTTGCTGTCCTCTGGAATTCCATGGATCAGAACACTCCACTGTCTGGGGCTGGCCTTTGATCTAACCAGGCTTTCCCTGGATGTTTGTGAAGAAAATGGGACAGAAATTTAAAACCCACAGCAGAGTGTGCAGGGAGGGTGTTTCTCACCCAGTGGAGGGTGGGGGATGTTCATGGCTTTGCCACAAAGAACTGATGTCCCATAAAGGGTTGATTTGTTCGTTTGAGCAGAACGACCTGGAGCTTTTCAGACACTTTACTTTGTGTAAACTGAACTTTGCACTTAAATCCCATGGCCATATTCCAGAGAATTACAGGGGCAATAAACTGGCACGAGGCAGAGGGAGTGGGACACCAGAAGCAGGGTGAGTTTGGGCTGCAGGGGATGGATTCCAGCACGAAGCTGGAATTTGGGATTGAAGGAACTCAGGGAATTTCATCTTTCCACTCACAGCCACAAAAGTGTCGCAAGGTAACACATTGGGAGCTTTTTTCCCCTCCTTTCAGCTGTGTGTTGGATTTGGGAGCATTCTGGTGTGAGTCCAAAGTTACAGCTGTCACATTTTCAGTTGTCAAACGTAAGCTTTCAGTGGGAGCTGCAGATATCCAGGGATCTCTTCCCTGTCCCCGAAACACGAGCCGGGGAAAATACGGAAAACAATTGAAACGAAAGGAGAGTTGCCACCATTCTGTGGACATTGGGAATGAAGTCAGGGAGCTGAGGCTGGCTGAGGGCCAGCCCTGTGGTCCATGGATATTGTTGTTTGGAGGGAGGCAGCCCCTTGGAGCACAGGAAATCCATTGTCAGGGTTTGCTCCGCGCAAGACTTGACGCAAAAGCTGCGAGAGAAACGAGCACATGCCCCACGGTCACATCCAGCAGTCACACAGACCTCGGGAACACTGTGTTGAAACTCCCTTTCCCAGAGGAAAGCCAGCCCTCCCCTGAGCACAGGGGGAAGGGAGCACGCACATCTATTCATCCCCTCGTTCCTGAGGAGGGAATTAGGATTAATGCCCTTGGAAAACATCTCTCCACAGCTTCTCAGTGTCAAACACATCCACTGAAACGAGGAAAACAACTTGTCTTGGGCTCAGGGCACATTAAAAAGAGAGCAAAGCAGCCAGGAGATTGTTTCCCTCCAGAGTGAACAGGCAGGACTTTCATCTTGCAGGGAAGATGCAGAATGGGAACATCCCAGGGGACACTTCAGACAGCAGAGCTGGGCCAGTCAAGGCTGGGATTGTATGAGGATGATTCAGGCAGGATTTGCCTGGTTTTCATGTCTCCTGTTGTAGTTGATTGTGTGCCCCCTCAGGGTTCTTTGGCTTTAGCAGAGCTCCAATCTTTCCCTTTTCCCCAAGCAGTAAAGCCATAAATTGAAAATGAATATTTAGGACAGCTCTAACACAAGAGGAAACTCGCCCATCCCAAGGCAGCTTAAGCTGAAGTTTAAAACTACAAATCACAGGAGAAAGCAGCATCATTAAAAGCTTGGTTGCTGCTTTCAGAGGCAAGTTGTTCTCCAAGCCAGGATTTGTTGGTTTGTGTCTTTCCTCAAGCTCCAAATAGGCCGGAAATCAAATTTCTGTCCCTCCTTCAGTGGGGAATCCACAGTTCCCTGGAGCCCCAGCCAAGAGGAGGTGGTTCCTGAAGGGAAGGACCACGAAACCATGGAGAGCAATAAAGGTTTTGGTGTTTTTATAACTTGGATAGTACCAATCTGAGGGTGTTACTTTGGGATCAGCAGAAGTTGATTTGATTTTTCTGGAGCTGAGCAGCCTTTCAATTAGAGGCACTTGCTGTGGAGTCAGAGCACAGTCATGTGGAACACAGTCTGTTTTCTTAAGTGGGTGGACCCACCTTAGGGGACTGATTAGTGCTGGTGATTGCTGTGCCTCTCCCCAAAACTGCTGGAGAAACGTGCCTGGTGTGGCAGTTCCCAGTGGGAAAACCATCCAGGAGGAAAAGGCAGAGACTTGTGTGATTCCTGGATGTGTTCAGTATCTGTGCAGATGAGGACAGGGACTTGCCTTTAAGCTATGAAATTGTTGAAAATGTGAGGAAATGGCAGGGAAAAGAAGCTGGGAATGAGTAGAAGCTCCAAAATTCCTGGCCTTGGAAGATTGCTGAGGATTACAGAGTTCCCCAGATGCACTTTTCTTCAATTCCTTATGGCAGTCAGCAAAGCTGGTAACAAAGCAGAAACCAAAGGGATTTCCCTGATTATTGGTGACTTTGGGAACTCATACAGTGCAGTGACAGAGAGGAAAGCAGAATCTTTGGGCTGGAGCCAGACTGCTCCAACCTGTTCCTAAAGGTTATGGAGCAAGAGCAGGTACCAGCTGAGAAAAGACCTGTGCAGAGACTTGGTGTGAGAGGAGGCTGGGATGGGAAAAACCTGCCTTGGATTGTCTGGGAGCTGATCTCTTAAGCCCCAGATTGGTGTGAGTGGTGCAGGAGCAGCAGATGGGAAAGCCTCTGGAAAAAGCTGGGCTTTGCTGCTCCCTGTTAACTGCTAGGCCAGATGGGAAGCTGCTCTGTGCTGCCTCTAAGCACCACTTGAATGGATGGGAATGAAGTGATAACTTGGGGGGAGGACTGGAGGGAATTCTTCTCTTGCACTGGATGTGGGGAATAGCACTTAGGAATTACCTTAGTCTGCTTTTCACTTCCCCTGCTCGGCAGAGTCTTGGCTCACAGCAGGACTGGGCACCTTCTAGAGCTGTTTTTCCAAGAAATTTGACTTGAGCCTTCCTCTGCTGGAATTTCCTCGGCTTCGGTGGGAGCAGTTAAATCATTCCATGGCATTTGACTGTCCCACCTTGCTGAACTGTGAAGTGTTGTCCTTCTGAAAATGCCTCACTCTGCTCATCAACTTGGGTCCCTTTGCTTTGGTCCAAGGGCTGAGTGAAACCAGAACCCCAATGAATGAGATGTGCCATCATCTTACTGGGGAGTGGATTTGCTTTGGATGCTTTGAGAGCAAGAGCACCGAGATTTTTATTTTATAATTTAATTCTAATTTTCTATTTCATTTAATTCTCATTTTTAAGTCACTTTAATGCCAGTGTTACACACAATTTGGGGCATATTTCAGACAGCTCTACTGGTTTCCTCAGTGGCAGAGTCAGTCAGAGGGAAAGCTGGGCTTGCTGGCTGTGAGTGCACAGATTTAGGGTTCAGAGACCTGTGCTGTTGAGAGCAGGTTTGTGCTCTGCTCTTTCCAAGTTTTTCTATTCCTTCTTTTTCTCTCCTTTTGGGTCCTGGCTCCCCAAAAGTGATCCCACATTCCCCTTTCCTAGTAAAGCTAAGTTTACTTTTTGAATTTTCCCCAGTCTGGAGGTGCTGCAGTGCCACCCCCCTTGCCAAGTGACCAACCCTTGGCTGTTTGTGATCCTTCCACGGGCCAAAAGCTCAAGGGGGGGGTGACATCACCTTTTGGCTGCAGCCCATTAAAACCCATCAAGTAATTAAAGTTGGGTTAAAGCAAGCCTGAGGAACAAAGCAGGACGACATTTCCCCCCAATCCCTGTTTTTCCATCCCCTCCTGAGGGCCTGGCAGTCACTTGGGTTGGTGTTCCCTGCAGACCTGCAGCCCGTCACCTACTGCGAGCCGGCCTTCTGGTGCTCCATCTCCTACTACGAGCTCAACCAGAGGGTGGGAGAGACTTTCCACGCCTCCCAGCCCTCCATGACCGTGGATGGATTCACCGACCCGTCGAATTCCGAGCGTTTCTGCCTGGGTTTGCTCTCCAACGTGAACAGGAACGCCGCCGTGGAGCTCACGAGGCGACACATCGGTAATTCCCGCCGCCTTCCCGAGGTGGAGGGGGGAGACCTGCGCAGGGATCCCTTTGATTAGCTAATTGGCACAAAGTTGGGAAGGTTTGGAACACTGGTGTTGGGAAATCCATGGAGCTTTAGGAGGCTGGTCTTCCGTAAGGCAACACTAGTTGTGGTTTTTTCATCTAATTGTCATAAAAAACCACGCCCAAGGAACATTAAAATTGGTACATGGAATAGAGACAGAATTCCTGGGGATTCAGGTGGATGTCAGGGATAATTGTGTGTATTCCTTTTCCCTCCTGCACTATTTGATTTTCTGACTGACCTTTTATAAATAGAGACTTAGTTCCTTGGTTGTCATCTCAATTTCCACTTTTCCTGCTTATCCTGCAGGGTGACATTCAATTTGTTTTCAGTTAAACTTGGGCTAAATAGAATATCCCAAATTCATGCAATTTTACTAAAAGGCCAAATTTCTTTTTCTTTGCTGTTTCCTCCTGACTTCTATCAAAACTGAACCTGATTTTTGTCCTAATTTTGCTCCCTTTTCCTGAGCAACAGGAGAATCCTCCCCCTTGTATAGGAGGATCTTTCCACACTTGTTTCAAATATGATTTCTAGCACTAAAAAAAAAAAAAACCAAAAACAAAAACCCACCAAGATTCCGAAATCAGGTTTTAAATCCAGATGTTAAATCAGGCTCCTTATGCTCTGTAGAAGGATGAAAGCAAGATATTGAACTAGGAGTGTAAGACCACAGCAAATGTTTATTTGAGCAGCCAAAGTGGATTTGTTTCATTATTAACTGAGATTTTAATGATTTGTGAAAACACCTACAGGAGATGTGTGTTTGTCCTTGTACAAAACATCATCTCAAACAACAGGCAGTGAGTTGAAAATGCGGTATAATTTATTACCAAATCACTAAATAAGCAACCAAGCAGTTTGTCCAGCTGGGATGACTTTGAGAAAGGGGCTGAAAACCACGTGTTGACTGATAGAACCTTGGCATGGAAAATATCAGGGTGTGTTTGGAGGGAGCTCTGGGCAGGTGGGGAATGTCTGGGATTGGCAAGGGGGTCTGGAGGTGAAATTCTGGCTTTATAAATTAGTTCCTGCCTCCCTCAGCTCTCCTCACTCACAGACCAATTCATTGGCGTGTCCACCGGGGTGGATTTTCCATCACCCATCATTGAGGTGCCTCATGCTGAGGGTTCCTAAGTCTCTGCCAGCTCTTGGAGCAGGTTTTGGAGGTGATTTCTGTCTCATCTGATGGTCCCCTGTGCCCTGTGTTTCCCAGGAAGAGGAGTCAGGCTCTACTACATCGGCGGGGAGGTGTTTGCCGAGTGCCTCAGTGACAGTGCCATCTTCGTGCAGTCCCCCAACTGCAACCAGCGCTACGGCTGGCACCCTGCCACTGTCTGCAAGATCCCCCCAGGTAAGGGATTCCCACAGCTCCACCTTCCCCAAGATCCCCAAAGGTAAAGGATGTCCCACACCTACTGCAGGATCCCCCCAGGTAAGGGATGGCCCCACAGCTCCACCTTTCTCAAGATCCCCCCAGGGAAGGATTGTCCCCCACAGCTCCACCTTCTATAGGATCCCCTCAGGTAAGGGGTGTCCCCCACAGCTCCACCATCTGCAGGATCCTCCCAGGGAAAGTTTGTCCCCCACAGCTTCACCTTCTGCAGGATCCTTCCAGGAAAGGGATGTCCCCAAAGCTCCACCATCTGCAGGATCCTCCCAGGGAAAGTTTGTCCCCCACAGCTTCACCTTCTGCAGGATCCTTCCAGGGAAGGGATGTCCCCAAAGCTCCACCTTCTGCAAGATATCCCCAGGTAAGGGATGGCCCCACAGCTCCAGCTTCTGCAGGATATCTGCAGGGAAGGGATGGCCAGGATATCCCCAGGGAATAGGTGTCCCCACAGCTCCACCTTGCCCAAGATGCCCCCCAGGTAAGGGATGGCCCCACAGCTCCACCTTCTGCAGGATCCCTTCAGGGAAGGATTGTCCCCCACAGCTCCACTTTCTGCAGGTTATTTAGCTGGGCTTACCAAAGCTGATTTTTTACAGTTAAAAGTGTATATATATTTAAAAAAAAATGGACTTCTTTGTTCAGAAATATTTGACTAAAGATTGCTGTTCTTTTGAGAGGAGACCCACACGCTGCAGGCTCTGGTCCCTCTGAATGGGTTTCCTTTCTCAGATGTTTGGGAAGCAGCTGCCAGTGTTGCAAACATGACTTAATTCTCCAGCCACATCACAAGAGTCCACCCTGGCTGGAGTCAACATCTCCAGGCCCAACCCGCCCCCATTTCCTCTCTCCATCCAGCTGAGGAGCATTTTTTGGCCACCAGCTCTCCCCACTTTCACCACAGTCCTTGGCTGCCTTCTCAGCTCATCCTTGAATCTCTGCTGGGTTCGAAGCGGTTTCTTCACTCCCTCGTTGCCAAGATCGAGTCATTCCCACTCCTCCCCGTGGAGAGACCCATTCCCAGCCTCTGCTGAGCTCTGGGCAGCCTGGCACCGGGATCCTCACCAAAACTGGTGCTCTTTCTCTGTGCCCTGGTGCTCTCACCCTTCCAACCTCTGCTTTGCTTCCCCTCAAACCCTCTACCAGGCTCCTGCCCCCTGGGCTGTGCTTTTCCAGGGGCCCAGCAGTGGTTCCTGCAGCTGCCTGGGGTCACACTTTGCTCCACACAGCTCGACCCAAAGCTGATGGCAAGGTGAGAGCAGCCCCAGAGAGGAGGCTCACGAGGGATTTTTAGAAAAGTACAATTCATCCCAGAGCAAAAGGTTGTTGTTCAGCCTTGGCCCACGTGTAATCCCACATGAGCAGCAGTTGTGTGCCAAGTTTGGGAGTTTAACTTGTTTGTGGTTAGCTGGGAGAAAGCAAGAGCAGCAGCACTTTTTTTCAAGAGTGATACATTTATTAATTTATTTAAACTACGAAGGATGTGATTTTTTATTTCACCTTTATCCCCTAAGAGCAGTCGAATAAGCTGTTTCCAGTCTTTTAGCTGGGACTAAACACTGGGGAGAAGAGCTCCAGTTTCAAAAGGAAAGTCTTTGGCACCTGCTGGTGAAATGGCAGAGAGGATTTGAGCAGGAGCAGCTCTGCCACCAGCCCCACCAGCCTTTTGAACCCTCAGAACTGCTTCCTGCCTTGGCAGGATGGTTTCACTTCAGAACTTCTCCATCCTACTGACAGACCCCATGGAAATCCAGCCCCAGGGAGTTCCTGTTTTTTTATCCTATGCATTCCTCCCCCTCAGGCCCTGCAGTGATCACTGTGATCAAACCTTACAGTCACAGCTGGGCTTTCAACCACAACGTGAGGGAAAACTGTACAGGAGAGACAAGGAGGTTCCACAGGAGGACCCAGGTCTGGTCTCACCCATCACAACCTGCTGTGTGGGCACCAGCATCCAGCATTCCCTGTCCTTGTCCTGCTCCCTTTCCAGCAGATGAGCTGTGAAAGTGTGTCACCCTCCATCCCTTCCTCTGAAACACTGTGTTTGAACAACCTGGGTGTGGCACACGTGCTCTGAGGTGGTGGCAGAGCAGCCTGGAGCTCTTTGCCACCCTGGGGAGGGGACGGGTTCAGGAAGGGATTGGGAAAAGGGATGGGGTAGGAAGGGATGGATTTCTCACTCTCATTACACTGATGCCTGGTCCTTGTCCTCTTCTCCTCTCACAGGGTGCAACTTGAAGATCTTCAACAACCAGGAATTTGCTGCTCTGCTGGCTCAGTCAGTGAACCAGGGCTTCGAGGCCGTGTACCAGCTGACCAGGATGTGCACCATCAGGATGAGCTTCGTCAAGGGCTGGGGAGCAGAGTACAGGTCAGGCTTTGGGAGGAAACTTGGCTGTGTGTGTCTGTGCTTGCCTTCCACTCCTGTAATTCCCAGCCTAGGAGGGTCCTGCAAAGCCCTTATTCCCATTTGAAGGGTGGGAATCAGCCCACTGTCTGGGTTGTAGCTGCTGGGAGTTGATCTCACCTCTTGTTTTTCCCATCTTATTTGTGCCAAACACACCTCGTGGGGTGCACCTGGAGCACCACAAGTGTCT